AAGGGAGCTAGGTGTTTGAGCTCAGCCCCCTAAACACATTTTATTTATCTCTGAACATCCAGTCTCTTATAGGGTGCTTGAAACACAATGGGTGTTTCATAATTAATGTTTACACTAATATTTTTCTTTTTTAAAAAAGATATTTATTTATTTATTTATTTATTTATTTATTTATTTATTTAAGACACAAGCAAGGAGGAAGATCAGAGGGAGAGGGAGAAGTCGACTTCCCGCTGAGCAGGGAGCCCAATGTGGGGCTGGATCCCACCAGCCTGGGATCATGACCTGAGCCGAAGGTAGATGCTTCACTAACGGAGCCCCCCAGGTGCCCCTATGCTAATATTTTTCAAGAATCAAATATATATAAAGATTCAATGTTAGAAAATGATCTAGGTTCATCTGGTTGTTCATTGGCATTGAGTTGTTTTGGGTAGATAAGGGTAGTTGTCCAATCTTGAGGTGGGGGCTGCAGGTTATAAAGATGGCTGTTTCCGTCCAAAACCTGCCATATATAAGGACTCACTAAACAAGCCTTCATTGGCAAAGTAGGTAGAGAAGTCACAGAACTGGCTTTGTGAGCTTAATGACATCCCAGGGCTCTGACCACACCTATAGGGGAGGGTCCCTGGAGGTTTCCCTGAATTAATTGCAACATCTCCGAGGCAGGATTTTATGCCTTCTAGTCAGTATTATATACTCAGAAATCCTCCTAAACTACTGGTTGGATACAGGACAAATTAGGATGAAGGCTCGGATACCCTCCGTGGAGAGGTGGGTTACAGAGCACTTGGGGTTCTCCTTGTGGCTTGCTTCAGCACGGTGAGGAGTGTCTGTGGCCACTTCCCAAATCTTGAGTAATTTTAATTTCACCAAGGAGAGCCTACTCCTAACATCCATTTTTCTATTTAAGAAGGTCATCAGTTTCGGGACAGCTGGAGCCTGGCATTGAGCCCCACATCGGGCTCCTTGCAGAGAGGCTGCTTCTCCTTCTGCCTATGTCTCTGCCTCTCTCTGTGTCTGTCATGAATAAATAAAATCTTTAAAAAGTCACCAGTTTTGCCACTAAAAACTCATCTGGACTATGCTTACCAGCCAAGCCTTGGTTGTTGATTGGGCTGTGAACAGCAGAAAGACTTGTCATGAGCTCTATGTGGAATGTGGCCTTTCTGATAAGCCAGCTAGCCACCCTGGGAGGTAAATTCCTGATAGTAAGTTACCTGGCTACCCCTAAAATTAAAGCTCAAACTAGCTGTGTACAGTTAAGTATTTCAAAGTATATGACAGCATCAATCTCGGGTACCAAGTGGAATAGAAACACATGCATGTAGTGCCAGAAGGTTCCTGGAGAAGGTGGGACCTTGGGGTTGTTCCGGCGCAGAGGTTCTTGATCTTGGCTCCACTCTGGAGTTCCCTGGGGGACTGTTTAAAGACCACACCCCAAAACAAATACCTTGGAGCTTCTGAGTGGAGACGCAGGGCTCAGGCTTCATGAAGCAATTCCCAGGTTATTTGGGTGTGTCATCAACATGAAGTTCACGCCTTAAAGGGTGGGTAGGATTCAGAAACAGCATTTGCTAGGCAGGTTCTCTTCATCTACTAGATTGTGTAATTAACAGAAGCCCCGAGGCCCATCGTCATACAGCCTCTGGCTCTGATTCCACCTTACTTGACCTCAGGATGTGAGAAAAGTCTCTTCTGGAATCATGTAGAAACCTGGGTCCCATAGCCAGATGTCTGTTCGATGGTTCAAGTTTGATTTATTCATGGGCGACACGACCTGCAAGGTATGCTTTCTGGGGGTCAAGCAAGTGGGGAGAGGCTGTGAGTTAAACTCTTTCAGGCAGGGCTCTTGAGTTTCACTCCCTAATTCTTCCCAGAAGTGTCCAGGCCGGCAGCCGCTTGGCCACCAACCCGCTGTGTTTCTTGGGGCAGGTCCCAGCTCCTGTCCGAGGGTCGGTTTTCTCACTTGTCAAATGAGAAGGTTGGACACTCGCGTCTTTGAGGCCCTTCCAGTCATGACTCCCAAAGGTCAGGGAATCACGGAGCCACAGAAAAAGAGAGGAAAAGCCAAAAAATAAACCTGGCAGTTGGGAAAAGTGTCCAGAAGAGGGCGCGAGATGCTGGGGAGAAAGCACCCCGGCCCCGGCGTCCCGGCCGGCGACCCTGGGCCGGGTCCCCGGGAGGGGCGGCGGCGGCCCGTGCAGCCTGGCTCGCAGGCCCCTCCCGGCGCCCTGCTCTTGCTCGGCCGCCCGCCCGCGCGCTCAGGCCGCTCAGCTCAGGTGCTCGGGGCGCCCTCGACGGGACCGGCTCCCGCAGCAGCGACGCCGGGGCCCTGGGCAAGCCGAACGCCACGCGGGGAGGATCGGGCTATCTGGCCGCCGTCGGGTGCTTTCGCCCCGCGTGCGGCGAAAGTCCAGCTTTTTTTTTTTTTTTTAAATATTTTTTCTTTATTTATGATAGTCACACACACACACACACAGAGAGAGAGAGAGACAGACAGACAGACACACAGGCAGAGGGAGAAGCAGGCTCCATGCACCGGGAGCCCGATGTGGGATTTGATCCCGGGTCTCCAGGATCGCGCCCTGGGCCAAAGGCAGGCGCCAAACCACTGCGCCACCCAGGGATCCTTTTTTTTTTTTTTTTTTTTTTTTTTTTTTTTAAGATGTTGTTTATTCTTGAGAGACACAGAGAGAGAGGCAGAGACACAGGCAGAGGGAGAAGCAGGCTCAGTGCAGGGAGCCCGGCGCGGGACTCGATATCAGGACTCCAGGATCAGGCCCTGGGCCGAAGGCAGGCGCCAAACTGTGGAGCCACCCGGGGATCCCCGAAGGTCCAGCTTTAAGTGAAACCCCCGCCGACGGGAACAAAGGAGGTCCGGCCTCGTGGGGGCGACAGCAAAGCGCGGGTGCCGAACCTCGCACCTCGCGGCGACGAGCAGCCCTGAGAGGGCCTCCCGCCCCGTGAGGTCCTGAGCACCCGCGGGGCCGCACACCCGAACCCGGTGTCGGGACCGCGAAGGAGCACCGGCCCGCGGCGCCGCCTCCCACCCACAGCGGCATCTGCAGAAAGACTTGTCTGGGCTCTAATTGGCTGATTCCGGGAACAGCGAACTCCCTCCCTCCCGAGAGGCGAGTTTCTCTCTTAAACAGTTTTTCTTATTAGAATGTTGTACTTATTAACCTTTGGGGTTGTCCCCTGTCTAACCCCCTCCCTGTGCTCTGAGCCCTGCCTCCACGGAGGCAGGACCAGCCTAATCTCTCTTTCGCGCGGGACAGATTTTCAAGTATTTGAAAACAGTTACAACGTCCCCATGTCTCCGATGGGGGTTCTCAGCACGCCTCACTACCCCAGGCCTTTCTCCCCACCTCCCCCTGCCAGCCTCTTCACCCCTTCCCACCTGGTAGGGCTCCCCCACCCCTCACCGCTGGCCTCCACCCCTCCTGTGAGTGCAGGAATCCAGCTGGGGCTCTGGGTCAGGGTCTCCCCGGAGCGGGAGCAGAGGAGTCATTGGTAGACCCTCATGGGCTGAGTGCTGACATAGGACAGGTGAGAAATCAACCTGTGTGGCCCTTAGGAAAACTCCGAGATGACACTAAGGAAGCGTCAAGCTGCAAGTGTTCCACAGCCTCAAGGCTGTTAATGCCCTATTAATCCCGGGACTCCAGGATCACTTCCTGGGCAGAAGGCAGGTGCTAAAACCGCTGAGCCACCGAGGGATCCCAATAACTAAAATTTTAACAAGTTTAGATATTTGTAACAGATGCAATTTTCCGCCTATCGTACACATTGTTGGCTTAAAAGTCATAAACTCTTTTAAGTGGATTCAGTGGGTTCTCACTGCCAGAGGATTCGATACCCTCTGGCTAATTAAAAAGAACCCACAAACAAGTTCCTTAAACATTCATTTTTTTAATTTCTTGAGCTTGAAATTCCCTTCCTCTTTCTCTACAGAATTTCAGTGCACATTTTTATGCTAAAAACTCTTCTAACAGGGGATCCCTGGGTGGCTCAGTGGTTTGGCGCCTGCCTTCGGCCCAGGGCGTGATCATGGAGTCCTGGGATCGAGTCCTGCATCGGGCTCCCCGCATGGAGCCTGCTTCTCTCTCAGCCTGTGTCTCTGCCTCTCTCTCGTTTTCTTTCTGTGTGTGTCTCTCATGAATAAATAAATAAAATCTTAAAAAAAAAACCCAACTCTTCTAACAACCACCCTATGATACTTACCTATAACAAAAATGTATATTTTAAACATTTCCCGTGCTCTAGTATTAACATTATCCTGAACTATCACAAATGGCATTTTTATACAACTTCAAAGATCGATTCTGTTTTCTGATAGGCAGAGGTGCTATATATTTGTTTACATGTTAATAGATGGGAAAGGAAGTTTTGTTTTTTTAATTTTATTTATTCATGAGAGACACAGAGAAGCAGAGGGAGAAGCAGGCTCCTTGCAGGGAGCCTGATGGGGGACTCGATCCCAGGACCCTAGGGTCATGCCCTGGGCCAGAGGCAGACCTCCACTGCTGAGCCCCTCAGGTGCCCCTGGACCTTTCTTATGAGAAGTAAGGAGGGAGATCTGATCATGAGACCCGCTTGTTGGCAAATGAGTATTTAGATTTGCCGGTGCTTATAGAGATTGAGGATCTGGACCTTAACTCCTTCAAAACAGGTCATGGCACAGAACTCCTTGAAGAGTCTTGGCGAACACCAGGGACCACACCCCCATAAGAGGATGGCTGCCTTGCAGGTAGGAACATTTGGGAAAGCAACTTGCCACGTGGGGGAGGAGAGAAAATTGCTGGGACGAAGTTCTTACCAATAAGAGTCATCATAGGACGCTTTCCGTATGTGATTTTATTAGTCATCTGTTGGTGTGTCACAAAGCACCCCAAAACTCAGTGGCTTCAAACAACACACACTATTGCACAGTTTCTGCAGATTCAAGACTTTATTGTCTCAGTTTCTTTAATTAGGACACAGCTTTTCTGAGTCCTCTGCTTGAGGTTGTTTCACAAGGCTGCAATCCAAGTGCCAGCTGGGACCATGATCTTCAAGTCCAAGCAAGGAATCCACTTCCACACTCACTCCTTTACCTGCTGGGGAGAGTTCCATGTGAACGAACCTCGCTGCACGAACTGGTACGTATTAAACATGAAGACTCATGGTCCGCACGTAGACCAGCTGAATTAGCTCTGCCTGGGACCCCAGAATCTTGATACACATTAACATTAAAGAACCACTGGCATAAAAGCAAGTGCTTAGGCTTGAGAGTGAGATAGTGTAGTTGAGGGCCTGCTCGCTGATCTAGAATGTTCCCTCCACCAGCCTCACCTTCCTCATCTGTGAAATAGATTTATGATTCCAACCTTCTCTATAGCGTTCTCTAGGGCTCAGACAAGATCACAGAAGGAAAGCAGTTGGCAAGTTTCCAGGGACAAAGTAAGTTTTAAGAGGTCTTTATTACTATTCAAAGGAGGGAAAGACCATATCTGATTGTGAGATTAGAAATTCACAAAGCCCTGGCCAGGAGTAGGATTCTCCTCAGGGAGGTGATTCAGTTCAGTCAGCATGAATTGAGCTTTTAATCTGTGCCAGGGAGGATGGAAGCTAGAAAGTTGGAGGCAGTTGGGGGTGGGGAGGAAGGATGCAAACAAATTAGTTTCAGATTAATGCTAGGTCCTAATGGGATGGCCAGTGTTGTCATTCTGGCAGGTGGAAAGATGCGTCTGTAGTAAGGTTAGAACTAGATTTGGGGCACCTGGGTGGCTCAGCAGTTGAGCGTCTGCCTTTGGCCCAAGGCATGACCTTGGGGTCCTGGGATCGAGTCCCCCATTGGGCTCCCTGCAAGAAGCCTGCTTCTGTCTCTGCCTGTGTCTCTCATGAATAGAAATAAAAAAATTAGATTTGAGAGTTACCAGTGTAGTGAGAGGTATAATGGGGGGGGGAGGGTGGCATGAAGAGAAGAGATTTGGGAAATGAGCCCAAATTTTGGACCATAGTTTGGAGATCTAGCAAGCAGGGTTAGAAAAGAATGTCATGAAGGTGTGGTTAGAAAGGCTGGGAAAACAAGAAGAGAAAAAATGAGAGATGCTAAGAAGGAGATGGTTTAACCTGAGGAAGGAGAGTCACGTACTGCCCCATGCTTTTTTTTTTTTTATTACAATGAGACTATTTTAGTAATATTTAATAAATGTATATTAAAGCAAAATAAACCACCCAAGTATAATGTCAAGTGTTGCACAACATTATTTAGAAGGAGCCATCAGACAGATAATAATTACGCTATCCTATATCTCTTGATATTTCCCTGAGAGCCCACGGTCATCAGGAACCATGATGCTCAAATCGTACAGTCTCCAGGCTTTTTTTTTTTTTTTTTATTGGTGTTCAATTTACCAACATACAGAATAACATGCCCCATGCTTTAGAGGGAGAAGGCAATCTCAATAGGATAGGAGTGAGTGGAACCATTTAGGAAGGAACTAATGCAGCAATTCTTAACCTTGGCTGTCATTAGAACTACCTGGGAGCTCTTAAAAATCCTTTTACCCAGGCAGGACCCCCAGAAAGTTAAATCAGAATTTCTGGGAGTGGGCGCCAGGCATCATTTGTTTTTGCAAAGGTGTAGAAAGTACTGAGAACCCGTAATTATGTTGGACTGGGTTTAAGCAGAGCCAGCTGGGACAAGCGCCTACCTCAAATGTAGCAGGAAAGGAGAACAAAGCTGCTAGTAGAGACCAGCCCACTGATGGAGCATGGTGGTGAGGCATAAAAGGTCCAGAGCAGAGGTGGGGAAGGAGCTTTATTTAGCAAAGGGGTTTCTTAACCCCAAAGGGGAGAATCCCTTAGAAAGGTGTGAAAACTGAATGCTGGCTCCACCCCCAGGCTTTCAGATTCAGTAAGTCTGACCCCTGACAATTTGTAGCTCTGACCCAGCTAATGCCAATAGCCTGGGGGGGTGGTGTGGCGTGTCACACTTGGAGATCTTCTTGGAAGGAAACTATGCTGACAGATTTCTGAGTGAGAGATAAGTGGTGGAGCCCTTTCTTTCCTGCTTCTGTCAGGGATGTGAAGAAATCCAAGGAGGGTTCTCCAAGCTTTGATCACCGCACTTGTCAACCTTGGAAGTACAATCTTCTAGGATTATGGGGGAGCTTGAAAACTCCCTCTGTTCGCCAAACAGATGTCCTGAAGGTGGGGTTCTTTGGCGGGATCTGATAAAGTTCCCTAGGAGAGTCTCCCTGAGGAGGCACAGCTGTGAGGGCCTGACAGGCCAATTAAGCAGGGGTCCTGATTCCAGCTGGAAGGGCTTACCTGGGAAGAGTTTCAGAAGCCTGTAGCTCCAGAACAATTTCTGCATCGACCGGATGCGCGCTCCAGCTGAGAAGCACCCGCAGGCTGTTCCTCATTCAGGTACAGATGCCTCCTTCAGACGCACCCAGGGCCGTTCTGCCCCGGCGCCACCTGCGTTTCCTCCGTCAACTCCCGCCGGCTACTTTCGTTTTTGGGTCAGGTTTCTTTTTTGCTGTAGGTAGAAGAGGGACTGAAGCTGCTGCAGGCAGCCAAATGCCATTAGGAAGGGGACCGAAAGGAGGCGGAGAATGGCAGGGGGATGGAGAGCGTGCACACGAGAGAGAAGGAAACGCGAATGACCATCTTCTGATGGGGGGGGGGCGGGTAGGAGTCTAGTTGGACGTCGAGGGTCAAACAGGCAAAAATAGGGAGAGAAGCTACGCATCCCACTTGCCCAGTCAGGACGTCCGCCAGGGAGTCGGTGTGGCGGAGACCCCGTGGGCATAGCCAAGTCACCTGTTACAACATCCCGTGACAGCTGAGTGTTAACCCTGAGACTGCTGAACGCAGCCGCGTGAAGTCCAGAGAATAACGTGCGGAGGCTTTCGGCCGGACTTCTATCCCCTACTTCTCCTCCTCCTCCCCTCGCCCTGCTACCTGGGCTCCTTCTCGTCTCCACTGCCCACCTCCGCCCCCCTCCGGCCCCAGCCCGCGATCGCCCGGAGGAGCCGGCGGAGCCTGCGGAGCGCGGCAGGTGCCTCCCCGGCGCGCACCTGTACTCGGCGGCCAGCAGGGGGCGGTCTGCCCCGGCTCCTCGCCCGGCCCCGCCCCCGGCCCCAAGGACCCCGCCGCCGCGGGGGCGCGGGAGGGCGCGTCCGGCCCGGCCCGGCCCCGCAGGGCTCGAAGGCGGCGGCCGCAGCGCACCGGCTGCCCGCTCCGCGCGCCGAGCTCGGGCCCTCCCTCCCGGCGCCCGCACCTCCTCCCCTACCTGAGCGGGGAGCGCCGCCGCCGTCGCCGCCTCCTCCTCCCCCGCCCGCCAGTCCTGCCCGGCCGCCGCCGCGGGAGTAAAGGTCGCGCCGGCCGAGAGCGAGCCGGCGGGGCAGGGCGTGGGGGAAGCGGCCACACGCCGGGAAAGTGTCGGCCGGCCCGGGAAGATGGCGCCAGGCGGGCTGGCCGCGGACTGAGCCGGCGGGCGGAGAGGAGTCGGGACCCGCCGCCCGGCAGGGGCGCGAGCGAGGGCCGCACGCCAGGCTCGCTGCCCGGGCTCGGGCCGCCCGCGGGGCCATGGCGGTGGGCGAGCTGTACAGCCAGGTGAGTGCGCGCCGCGCGCCAGGTGAGGGCGGGGACGAGGGCGGCGCGCCCCGGGCCCCCGGCCCTCGGGGCGCCCCCTCCTGCGGTTCCGGGAGGCTGGGGGCGCGGGGGCCGCCTGGCAGCCTCCCGCTCGCTCCCCCCCGGCGCCCAGAACTTCGGGCGGAGGAGGAAGTTTGGCCGCTCCGGGAGCGCCCTGCGCCGCCCGCGCCTGCCCCCCGCGGCTCTGCCCCCCGCGGCTCTGCCCCCCGCGGCTCTGCCCCCCGGCTCTGCCCCCGCGGCTCTGCCCCCGCCAGGGCCGTCGCTCTCCTCGCCTGGCGCTGCTGAGTTCCCCGGTCCGGGACGGGGGTCCCCGGCGGCGCCGAGCCCGGGCCGTGGAGACAGCCCCACTGCCGCCCCCCGCCCCCCGCCCCGGGCCCTGCTCTGCAGCCGCAGCTCGCAGGGCGCTCCCCCAGGCTTCCTTTGCTCCAGCGCGCCGGCGGGGGCAGCCCGAACTTCGGGGATGTTCGCACACTTGGGGGGGAGATAAGGGGACCCGACCGGCTGTTAGGGACTTGGTGGGGAGGCGGAGATGAGCAACAGGTGAGGTGGGAAATGCTCCGAGGACCTGCAGAGACCCCGGGGAAGCGCATTCTTGATTGGCTGGGGGTGGGCACCAGGAAGGCCTTAGTTACCTATGGGAAGGGGCGGAGTGTGGACTTCCTGGGTGCCAAGGTCAGCCGGGCTCTGCAGGGCTCGGCCCGCACGGCCGGGAACAGGTGCGCCTGGCTGGAGACGTCCTGCTTCCGCGGCGGTTGTTTCAAGTTCGGGGCCAGCCGCCGCCTCCCGGAGCGCCCACGGCCGGGCCGGATTAAGCACGCGCCCTTCCCCCCGTCAGGAAGTTCGGGAGATCTGCCCGCCTCGTCTGTTTCCGGGCTGCGCCCCGGGGGACTGCGCCCCGGGCGTCGGTGCGCGTGCGGAGCGGGTGCGGGCGGTGCGGGGCGCGGGATCCTGGCGCGGCCCGCAGGTCTGGGCGGGGGGGGGGCGGGGCTGGCTCCGCCTCTCACCTGGATGCTGCGCGCGTGGCGAGCTCCGCAGCCGGGTGGGCCGCTCGCCCCGCGGGGCGGACTTTCTCCCCGCTCCTGCGGAAGAGCGAGCTGAGCGGGGATGACACGGAGGCGGTGGCCTGGCTGGGGATGGGGGTAGCTGCAGCCTCGGCGCCCGCGTCCGTGGCCCCAGTTGCGGGGGGGCTGCAGCTTCTGGAAAGGAGGGAGGAGGGAGCAAGGAGCGGGGAAGGGGGGCGGGGTTGGTGAGCGGCTCCGGGACTCGGGCTTTGAAAAGTGCCCCGCCCGCTTCAGCCTGTGGGTCTTGGCAGGAGCCCCCAGAACTCCAGCTCTTCGCCGGCGGTAGCAGGGTGTCAAGCCCTCCGACTAGAGCCTGGTTCCGGCGAGGCCGGGGGTGGGTGGGGTGGGGGGCGGGGCAGGGGTTTCAGGGGACCTGACCTGGGCTTGGATGGTAAAGCCTCGCAGTTCTGTTCAACCCCGGGGTGCACCGGGCCCGCCGGCCGCCCGACGACAAGAGCGCCCCAGCGACCGAGCCTGCGATACGGCAAGGCCTTTCATCAGATAACTGCTGTACTACGTGAAGCTGATAGTTAACTGGATAAATCTGTGACTCCTGAAGCCTTGATCTTGAAAAACATTGGATTGCTTTTAAAGACCCTACTTTCGGGCAGCCCGGGTGGCTTAGCGCCGCCTTCCGCCCAGGGCGTGATCCTGGAGTCTCGGGATCGAGTCCCACGTCGGCCTCCCTGCATGGGGCCTGCTTCTCCCTCTGCCTGTGTCTCCAGCGTGCGCGCTCTCTTATGAATAAAAAAAATCTTTAAAGACCACGCTTTCAGGGGAAAACACTTGATATTCTTGTTGGAAACGAGTATATTGCCAGCTATAAATGAGCGTATGGTATGTTAACTGTTAGAAATGAATCCTAGTGGGCATCCCTGGGTGGCGCAGCGTTTGAGCGCCTGCCTTTGGCCCAGGGCGCGATGGAGCCTGCTTCTCCCTCTGCCCCTCTCTCTCTGTGTGTGACTATCATAAACAAAAACAAAACAAAACAAAAAAAGGAATCCTAGTGGAAGTCTGCGCCCAAGTTCAGGGGTAACTTTCTGGGCTTTTACTAAGGATATAACTACCCTATGAAAATGTCTCAAGGACACATGAGTCACCTATTGTGGTTTCGTGGGTGTGAGGGTTTGACACCACTCAAAGTATTAGAACGTGTTCCTAGGGCTAGGGGGGTTTCACCTGTCCATGTTGGTGGGTTTCTAGTCCTTAATCACTTTGTTTATGAATCTGAAATTGAGACTTTTTGTGACCCAGCCAGTAGCTTCCAGATTGAATTTTGAGCAATTGTTCTTGTCAGTTAAACATGCTTTGCTATGAGAAGCAGTTGTATTGTTTTCCAACCATTATCACCCTACTTGCTAGGCTGGATTCTCTGTATGCATATGAATAATAAAGTACATAGAGAAATTGTGCCTGCTGCTCAGATTCATTTTCTTAGGGGGATGATTTGTTCATCTTGGCATATTAAAGCAACCAATGTTCCCCCTTTTAACCTGCTAGGCCGGTCTAACATGGTGACTGCTGGACCCAGGCACGCACTGTCATGTATTATGCATGATAGAAATAATTATCCATTATGTCAACAGCATTTATAAGTGGGGTGGAACTATTAAAGCCTTTTAGAACTATACCTGTTGCTTTAGTGATCTAGTTGGGAGGTATGATTGGAAGGAGACCTTCAAGTGCATAAATTAACCTGAAGGTACAGTTTCAGGTAAGAACTTAGTATATTAGCCTATTCCTATTTATCCAAGACAAGACTCCCTTTCTTTCCCTCCCAGGTTACTGTTTTCTTGTTTGCCTATCTGCACACTCCAACTGGAGGCTCCATGCTATGTGAATTATTATTTTTGGAGTCCTTAGTCCTTGACAAAGGTCACATCCCATTACCTAAGAACACACCTGTGTTCAGAAGACCCAACCCCTCACCTTTGAGAAGTGGCTTTCTCTGTAGTGAGTCTTTTCTGGAAGGGAAAAAAAAAATTAGTCCATGCCAAGACACTTTGAGGGTGATGTCAAGGTGAGTCAGCTTCAACTCCTAAAGAAAGCTGGAGCTGATGATGGGGGATCATGTCACAAGTGGCATGTATGTAGCAAAGTATTCATACTGTCTTTTCCTGTGGGTTGGAAACACGAGCTCATTGGATTTGTCCAGGTCCCAGGTGTGTACAAGCATGGGAAGTACAATTGGATCTTGATATTGCAGGAAATAGTCTATTTTTCATGCAGAATAACCCTTCTATGAACCTTGTTGTTTTGGACCAGTCTTTCAGGATGCTGTCTTGACTTTTAGTCAGGGTGACTGGGAAATCACCAGATAAACCAGTACCTTCCAATAACCCCTTCTCTGGTTGGCCTTTCATAAGTGGTGTCTGAGCAGTTTGAGTGCTGCTAGTTCACTGGTGGATCCAGCCTATGTGTGTAAATGGTGGCTTTGTCTTGGTCTTTCCCTGTGCAGCTGGTAGTGCGGGTTTGTGCCAGGTGTCAGCCTGTAGGCAGCAGGAGCCTCCTGCCTCTACCCACCCTGCATCACTGGAGGCACTAATGATTCAGACTCCTGTTGGTGCCCCAGTGATATTTCAAAAAAGTGACAGTCGAGACCTGAGTGGTAGCAGATGCTGGTAGTGCTCCTCTGCAGGCCCTAGAGTCTTCTCCTGAACTCGTGCTGGTGCTTGCTCACTCTGGATAGCACGTGTTTCTCAGAGGTTCCTGGAGCCTGGGAATGCACCCCCCCTCCCTGCCCCAGGATGGACCTGTAATCCATGGGAGTAGGGACCTTTAACCCATGGGAGTAGAACAGCTGTAGTTTCCAGACCCTGACCTTGGGAACGGGACTGCCCACAGAGCTGTGCAGGAGGAGCTGAAGTTCCTCTGCTTGAATTTTGCTGAATATCACACCCCTGCTTGCCTCCTTTCACCTCCCCACCTCCCTACCTCCCCACCTCGGGAGCAATGCCTAATGGAATACCTGGACAGGAATCTTCATCTTTTGGATCTGAGGACCATGGTGAAACCAGACAAGGGCTCTGGTTTCCTTTGGTTCTCTGAAGCCTTGTGCCAATGCACAGAGGCCATTGGCCTGCTCCTCCCCTCCCCCCTTCCTCCTTGCTGCTTTCTCTGCCTTGCCCACTCTTTCCTGCCTGCTTCCCTTCCTCAGATGGGCCTATAAAGCCAATGGGCTCTTCTTGGCTCTGCTGGTGAGCATTAGAATTCCAGTGTTCAGATGCAAGTTGTTACGGGTTCACCGGGCACATTCTCTGCCTATTACCTGTATGCCCTACCCCAATGCCTTGTTTGTAGAGTTCTTGTCCTGCCTCTTTTTTTCCCAGGTAGGTTGAGCCCATCTGGAGAGCGGAGGCCATCGCAAACATTTTTTTGGAGCCTCCAGTGTGTTTAGCATGGTGCCTTATACTTAGAGATACTTGAGAGCTTGTCCCCTGGATCTTAAATCCCCGTGTGCCAAGTCCTGCTGGAACTTCCTTATAGCCCATTTCCCCAATGTGAACACCTCACTTAAGCACAGCCTGGTTGTTGAAACTGGGAAATTCCTACAGCACTAACTTGTCTGTGAACTTCCCTGGAAGTTCCCCAGTTTTTCCACTGATGGCCTTTCTCTGGGCCTGGGTGCCTTCAAGAATTCATGGTTAGCATCCTAGCTCCCTTGATCTCCAATTAGGGACCATTTCTTCTCTTTTACATGTTGGCAGTTTGAATATTGGCCAGTTATCTTGTAGAATGGCCTCGATCTGATGGAGTCTCCTGCTTATGTGGAGTTTACAAATTTTTGTTAAGAAAACTTCGGAAGTGATGGGCATGTACCTCCTGAGGTGCTTCACTGTCAGCGTGTCCCACTTCTGATGGTATCCCTTCCATCCTTTGGTGAAAGTGATATCCATCGGTTTCCTTTTATTGAGTGTTTACATACCAAGATTTGGGTGCTGGGTATGCCTCCTGTTTTTTATAGCCACTTAGGGATTATTGAGCCTAGAATTCAACAGATGTTTGATTATGTGGGCAAGGGCAGGAAGAGTCAGTGATGACCTTGAAGTTTCCATCTTGAGGGTGGACAGAAAAGTCAGGATGGGGCAAGGAATCCTGTGATGGTGTGTTGTCTTGTTTTTGGTTTTCTGTGTGTGTATGTGTTTCTTTTGGTACCTGTTTGGGGTGATACTTTCTGCTTAGATGAACTTTGAGGTTCTGTGAACTTAAAGGAGAAATGGGGGTTCTTGCAAATAAGAAGAATGGGTGAGATATTTTCTCTAAATGCGAGTCTTACAACAGGATCTTCATAAAGTTCAGATCATGACCTTGGTGTGGGCCGTCCTAGCCTCTGGTCATGATTTTGGTATGGACTATTCTGGGTATGTGGTTAAATGCTCAGCTCTGATGCTAGAATAGATGCATTCTGAGCCTTTTTTTTTTTTCCCCTTAATCTGGGATGGTACCTGCGTCATAAGATTCCTGGAGGATCACATGCTCTAACATGTGAAGGTACTGCCTAGTGCAGCTTCTGGCAGGCTGTCCAGGCTTAAATGTTGATCGGCTTGTTTACCCTTGAGTCGTAGTGTTGTGTGGTGGCATTTTTGCCTGAGCCTAAAAGGTTCACTCTCCCCCTGGCCCCTGGGGAAGGAGCAAGAGTAGTTTGAAAGAATTTTTCTTTTTTAAGATTTTAGTCATGAGAGGCACAGAGAGAGAGAGGCAGAGACCCAGGCAGAGGGAGAAGCAGGCTCCTCGCAGGGAGCCCCGAGACTCCCAAGATCACGCTTTGGGCTGAAGGCAGGCACTAAACTGCCGAGCCACCCAGAGATCCTCTTATAATAAGTTTTCAATGTAAGCTGTGTTTTCTGGTCTTTTATTAGTTTTTAAGGGAAGTTTAAAAAGCATTTTCACCATACCTTTTTTGT